GCCGAGAAGGAAGGAAACAATTAAAACGGCGCAACACAAAGCCTGGCGGGCAGGCAGCCCTTTCCTCAGGAAAAGCTGTTCCCGGACCTGCAGGGAGCACGGCGCGCCCCCCGCCCAGGGCCACCGCCCCGCTCACCTGTCCTGCTTGGTGTGGTTGACTATGGACCGGACCTTCAGCTCCCCGTCGATCTTCGGCCTCCCGAACTCCTCCAGCTTCACCTGCTGGGAGAGACAGGGGAGGCCGTCAGCCCCAGGGCAGAGCGGCGCCCGTCGTCACGTCGGGAGAAAGGGCAGGTGGGCACGTGCCCAGGGGACGAGTCCCACCGAAGCCCAGTGCCACGAACCCGGTGGGTCCTGGTGGTGCTTAGAACGAGGAACTGGCCCCGCGGCTCCCGTCCCCCCAGCCCTGGCCCCCCGAGGCTCCCCGCAGCTCTGCAGGAACAGAGACAGCCTCGTGGTGGGGTCTTGTCAGCAGGGCAGCCACAGGGTGCTGCCCAGGGCAGGGACCTGGCAGGAAAGGCAGACGCCCAACCCCGGGACACCAGATTAGCGGGACGGAGCGCGCGCGTCAGACGCGGGGCGGGCGGGGCGTGGGGTCCTGCCAGTGGCTTGTCCGCCACGGGAAGACGGTCCGGTCCGTCAGCCCCTCTGGTTCGCAGAGATTCGTTTTTGATCTGTCTGGTTTGTGTCTCGGCTCTTCTGCTTTGATTCAGGGAGACAGTCTCCTGACGCGTGTGCCACGCAGCAGGAAATGCAGGAGGACGCGGCAAACGCCCGGGGGCCGTGCCCGTGGGCGCTCAGCCTCTTCTTCTGTGCTCTCGGAATTTTCCAGAAGCTGCCGGAGCAAGACTCAGAGCACAGCAGCCTTGGGGTCACACAGGGTGGGACGAGCACCCTGCGTAGCGACTCCCTCTGGGCCTCCATGTCTCACCTCTGAAGTGGGGGAAACTGAAGCGCCACCCCCACCTGGGCGACGGGGTTCGGGAGGGGACGGGAGCTGAGCACGGCCTGGCTCGCGGGAACGCGCCGCGCCCGTGGGCCACTGCTGTCGTACTTTTGTCATTTAAGGAACGAGTGTGACTCTTCTGAAAAAACTCTTTAAAAATGTCCCGAAGGTGTCTTCGTGCCACAAAAGCGATGTCCGTCCATGGACATGGTGCTTCGGCCAGCGCCCTAAGTCTGAGCCTCTGACGGACCGGGTCAGGAGAGGGCCCCTGAGGTGTCCGGCTGGCCTGATGGAGGCCGAGGGGAGGGGCGAACCTGAGGGCAGCTCCCTCGTGCCTCCTGGGGACAGTGGAGATGAGGGGGCGCCAGGGGTCCCTGAACCAGAAGGAGCCTCGTGTCTGCTGGGAGCCACAGCCTCCCCTTGAACCCAGGAGTCCTGCGTCCAGCGGGGAGGGAGGCGAGAGTTTAGGACGGCTGCTCCCCCAGCCCTGCCCCTCAGCAGGCAGGCGGCCTGGGCACAGAGCACTCAGGGGGCCCGAAGCATGCAGAGCGGCATGGCTCCCACCGCCTGGCCGGACACAGCGGCGTCCACACTTCTGCTCGTTCAATGCCGAGGTCGCGAGCGTAATCTCTAAAAGGAGGACGCGTGGGCTCGACTCTTCCCGCTCCGCTCACTTACCAAGTTCTCTATAGAACTCTGGAATTCGCTGATTTTCTTCAGGGTCTCCTTGTCCCGTTTAACTTCATTTATGTACATTGCCAAGTCCTTGGAAACAAGGGGGTGGGGGCGGGGCTCAGCAGGTGTGTGCTGGGAGGGGCGGAGGGCCCAGCCCCGACCCCCACCCGTCGTCCGCCCGGGGCTGAGCCTTTGCAGAGCACCTCCGGCCACCCTCCAGAGGCGGCTGACCCTCCAAATGACAGGAGGGTGAGAGGCGTCAACCCCATTTGACAAGTGAAGAAACTTAAGGCAGAAAAGGTAAAACCGACCCCCAACTGTACCCCGATCGGTGGGCCAGGAAGCCCAAACTCCTGCCTCCTGATCCCCGTCTATGCTAAAGCAGAGGGAAAGCGGCCGACGAGGCCCGGCCCAGGCCGCTGCTCCGCTCTGGGACGTGGACACCCGGCAGGCCGTCCCCGCGCCCCCAGGAACCGCACCGTCTGGCACGGTGTGCACGTGCTGCAGCCTCCTGCTGGCCGCCAGGGGGCAGTGCCCGCTGCCATCCAGAGTGCAGAGCAGCTGTGCTGGGCACCCAGCGCCACGGGAGGGCCAGCAGATCCAGCAGGTGGCACTGACCCTGCCCAGCAGCAGGACAGCCTGCCCTGGGTGGACCCCCGGGCCAGGCCAAGGTGGGAGCCGATTCCAGCCTTCCTCCGGCCCCTCCTGCCCGTTCCCACAAGGAGCCCACCGGCAGGGCAGGATCTGAGGCCGAGGCAGAAGTGTCACGAGCTGGCCTGACAAGCTGTCCAGCCGTTCGGGCCTCGGCGGCACAGGCCGCAGGCTCACCCCGGCTTGAGGTAAAGTTCTCACAGCACGGGGCGCGGCGCCTCCGGGGAACGGGACCCAGACAGGGACAATCCTCATGGGAATGTCACTTCGGAAAGACCGAGGAAGCGCGGGATGCAGTCACGTGACGAGGAGGGGCCCGTGTGAGCCGGCGCTCAGGCGGGCCGGGAGGGGCTGCACACGGGGGCGTGGGGGTGGCCTGGCCGGCCTGGGTTTGGGGCACGCGGTGCCCACCGCTGCAGAGCCACATGAGCAGCTCCGGAGGGCTGTGTGCTGGGCACATGGGACCCGATGGCCCAGAACTGCATCCAGTGCCTGGGACCTGGTGACAGCCCCGAGGACAGCCGGGAAGGCAGGAGGAAGGAGGCCCAGGGGCCGCTGGGGGCCAGGCAAGGTAAGGATGGGGACATGGGGTGGGCGCCTGGCCTGCAGCCCCCTCTGCCCAGCGCCCTGTCCCCACTCCGTCTCCTGCTGTCCCAGGAAAATCTGCGTCTATGGTCACAGAGCCAGGCTTGTTCGCGAGCCCGACTCCAGTCCCAGAACACTCTGCCCTGACTCAGTTTACCCACCTGCATGGCCTCCAGTGCTTCTTTCAGCTGCTGCCTCTCCGGCCGGTCAGTGGAATGGCTCAGCAGTTCCTGGCGGTGCGAGGGGGTTGTGGGTCACCACTCGGGGGTCCCGGTCCCCACCCTCGCCCCTGCCCGGCACGGGGTCGGTGCCGCTGCCCCACTCCCGCAGACAGACAGTGGGCCCTCGCCCACGCGACAACGGCTTCGAGGAACCTCGTGGTGACGGCAGAAACAGCAGGCAGAGCAGGTGCAGAGCTAACAGGTGACCCGCAGACTCACGGAGGGGCCTGAGTCAGCGCCTCTCAGAAACCGCCCTCTCCCCCAGGCCCGTCTGCCGAGAAGGACGCTTATTTCCACGGCCACCACGGCTGCCGGGAAGCTCGGAGGCAGAGCTCACACGTCGACCCCAGGCGTCTCCCGTGCCGGTCTGTGGGTCTCTCGTTTTCTGCCCACACTGATTCTAACGATGAGTCTGTGACGCACGCCCCGCACGCGCCCTGGGCAGCCCCTAACGGACCGCACGACGTGTGCGCGCTGAGCACAGACGGGCTCAGCCGCGGGCCTGCGTACCCCCCGCGCCCCAGGAGCCAGGCGCGGGAGCCCCACCTTCAGGAGCAGGTGATACTTGAGCACCCTCTGCATGGGCACCACCAGCAGGTCCTGCAGCTTGAACTTCCCGTCCTGGACCTTCAGTGTGCATTCCTGGGTGTCAAAGGGCAACAAGTCGATGGACAGTGTCCTTGCCTGGGGACCCTGGGCCCCGATACTCCCACGCCCAAGCAGGGGGGCGGGCCCAGGGCTGGAACTGGGGCCCCGGCATCCGGTCCATCTCTGGCCGGCTCCCGGGACCCTCTGCAACCCAGGTGTGGGGACACAGCAGCCACATAGCACCCTGGGGTTCTGGGGCTGGCACCCACCAGGCCTGCCTCCCCACCCTCGGGTCAGCCGGCTCACACCAAGGGGGGCCGCCCGTGGAAACCAGGTTATCTGGACACACAGGGGCATCCTGCTTCTCCAAGGGGGCCGCCCCCAGCACCGCTGGAGCAAAGGGACGCTGCACCAGCATCCACTCTGGAAACTGGGTTCGACATGGGACCCCCAACCCGGGGAGCAGCCCGGCTAACCCCAGTGAAGGGAACGAGGAGCAGGGCCAGGGGAGCGACAACCGCCAGAGTGGCCCAGAGCCCAGGCTGAGGACGGGCAAGCAGCGGGAGGCTCCGTGGCTCCCGGCAAATGTCCATCACCCAGGGCCCCCCTGGGGTTTGCACAGGCCAGGGCCAGGGGTCAAAGTCCATCACCCAGGGCCCCCCTGGGGTTTGCACAGGCCAGGGCCAGGGGTCAAAGCACCCCCAGAGCGAGGTCCGGTCCTCGGGGTCTGCCTCAGTCGCACCCAAGGGACTCAGGCCGTGTTCTGACCTGGGGCACGGCCTCCACCTGCCCACTCCCCACCCCAACAAAATGCAAAGGAGAAAAAAATCGCCTGCTAAAATCATCTACAAAAAAGGCACATCACAACCCCTGTCTCCACATTCCCACAAAATGGTCAAGCAAGGGGCCAGTGAGGTGCAACCTCAAAGGGGCGGGCCAGGGGACGGGCCAGGGGACGGGCCAGGGGCCAGGCTGGGGACGGGCCAGGGGCCAGGCCGGGAAGTTCCTGATACCTCGACTTTCAGTCTGAAGTCCTCCCGGCTGGCGAGGAGCTGGTTCAGTGTGTTCTGGGCGTGTTCCATGTGGCTGCAGTACTCCCCGTAGATCAGGAGCCTGGGGGCGCGCGCACACGCACACACACGCACGCACAAACACACGCATACACACACGCACACAAACACACATGCGCACACACGCACACACAAGCACACACGCATGCGCACACACGCGCACACACACACACACACACACACATGCAGGCTTAGGGGCGCTGTGGCCGACAGACAGCCTGCTGAGCTTCACGGCGCCGTAAGCACAGGCCGGCACGTTCGGTTTGCTCTTTCCGTGTGGCAGCCTCCCCCCTCCCCGAAAGGCCGCCAGCTAGAAGGGCTGCCGAAGCCTTGGGAACGGGGGCGCTCTGCTCTCCCCGAACCAGAGAAGGTCCCCTTTCTATAGCTCTATCCCAGGTCGAGGCCGGGTTGGGGATGCAGTTCTCACCGCACCCCACCCCCAAGGGCAAAGCCACAGAGGAGAGCCCCTTGGCTCTCCAGGGCCAGGACTGCAGGACGGCTGGGGCTGGTTCATGCCAGGACAGCTGAGCACTGGGCTCCTGGCAGCCACTGTGCACCCCCAGGTCCATAGCCACGTTGGGCATGGACCAGCCTGTTTGTCCTCACAGAGGGGAAGTGGTCTCAGCTCTGGGGACACCAGAGCCTGGGCCTCAG